TTAAACATGTTTTCAGTTTCTTGTTGTGAAGAGAAGATTAAGTGGAGTAAGAAAAAAGAATGTAAAACATAAACCCCACCCGCCCGCCCTATCTCAGTTGTGACGATTTTTCCTTATTCGTCATGAGTCAGGCGGGGCGGGGCTTACGTTTAGCCTTTTTTTCTGTATATACATAACCTTCTTTTCACAAAATTTTTACAAACATATTGGAAATGGTTAATTTTCGTCGGGAAATATTGAATGAAAAATTCATCACATTTGAGATGAGGGCGGGTGGGCGGGGTTTTTATTTTGCTTTTTTTTCTAAATATATGCACGTAGTTTTTTTCTTGACAAGAACCTAAAAATATGCTTAAAAATGGTAAATTTTTAGAGAAGTGTGGCGCATAAAATTTACCATTTTAAACATGGTTTTCGTTTCTTGTTGTGAAGAGAAGACTATGTGTAATAAAAAAAATAAAGGCATAAGCCCCACCCACCCGCCCCATCTCAATTGTGACCATTTTTCCTTATTCGTCGTGAGTCAGGAGGGGCGGGACTTTAGTTTAGTTTTTTTTTCTGTAGATACGTAGTCTTCTTTTCACAAGATTTTTGAAAACATATTGAAAATGGTATTTAAGCTCCGCCACTCGGTTCATGATGAATAAAAAAAGTCACAATTGGGACGAGGGCGGGTGGGCGGGGTTTTTATTTTACTTTTTTTTTCTAAATATATGCAAGTAGTTTTTTTTTCGTGACAAGAACCTAAAAATATGCTAAAAAATGGTAAATTTTTACAGGACTGTGGGACATAAAATTTAAAATTTTCAACATGTTTTCAGTCTTTTGTTGTGAAGAAAAGACTATGTGTTTAAAAAAAAATGCAAAACATAAGCCCCACCCACCCACCCTATCTCAATTGTGACGATTTTTTCTTATTCGTCGGGACTCAGAAGAGGCGGGACTTAAGTTTATCATTTTCTTCCGTAGATACGTAATCTTCTTTTCACAAGATAGCTAAAAACACATTGAAAATGGTAAATTTTTGTCGGGAAATACTGATTTTACAATTAAGCTCCGCCTCTCGCTTTGACAGCGAATGAAAAGTTCATCACATTTGAGGTTGGGGTGGGCGGGTGGGGCTTATTTTTTTACTTTCTTTTTTCTTGACATATATAGTTTTCTTGCAACAGCTTCTTAATATATGTACGTAGTTTTCTTTTCATAACAAAAACCAAAAAATGTGCTTAATATGGTAAATTTTTATAGAATTATGGGGGATAAAATTTACCATTTTAAACATGTTTTCAGTTTCTTGTTGTGAAAAGAAGACTATATGTGTATTAAGAGAAGAAAAAACGCCAAATATAAGCCCCACGCACCCACCCTATCTCAATTGTGACAAATTTTCCTTATTTGTCGTGAGCCAGGAGGGGCATGGCTTAAGTTTAGCCTTTTTTTTTCTGTAAATACGTAATCTTCTTTTCACAAGATATTTAAAAACATATTGGAAATGGTTAATTTTCGTCGGGAAATATTGATTTTACAATTAAGCTCCGCCCCTCGCTTTGACAACGAATGAAAAATTGGTTTTCTTGACATCTATAGTTTTCTTGCAACATGATACTTAAGAGCATGTTTCACATGGAGGATTGTTGTAGAGAAATAAGCATTTTACATTTATGTTCTGCCCCTTGGCTCATGTCATATAAAAAAGTCACAATTAGGATGAGGGTGGGTGGGCGGGTTTTTTGTGTTTTGCCTTTTTTTCTTAATATATGCACGTAGTTTTCTTTTCATGACAAAAAACTAAAAATATGCTTAAAAATGGAAAATTTTTAGAGGAATGTCGGAGATATGATCCGAACAAATCGCTAATCCTTTTCCCCAGTTAATCCGGATTATTGAGGTTATACTGTATAACTAGATTCGAGACCATTGGGTTGACTTTAAGTCAATCTGTGGATTTAGTAGATCAATTATGTAAACGATTGGAAGATACCCCGGGGAGAGTAGGTGAAATGACATTTAAGAAGCTGCAAGATACTTTACAAAAATTACTGAGTCCCGAGAGCTTAACTTGTCAGCACAGAATTACAAGGCGAAAATTTAGAAAGATTTAAAATTGAAACCATCTGAAATTTCTAATTTTAAATATTCTCGTTTAACATTGTGTGATGGTGAGAGATCCTTAATTTTAACGAAGATTAGGACTGCTGATTATGTAAAATAATAAAAAATTAAATTACTAACTTCTTATTTTAGGACCTATTTTGTCTTTTTACTTCCCGAGCGTAAGCAAAGGAAGTATTGTAATCGAGTCCGTCGGCCGACTCTCTACTTTTACGTTTTCTCGATCTTTCATGACCCCTAGAAGACGAAGAAATAGGTCTCCCATTTCCGTCTGTCTGTCCGTCTGTCCGTCCGTCCGTCTGTCCATCCGTCCGTCTGTCCGTCCGTCTGTCCGTCTGCCGTCCCGGATTTTTATTAGACAGATAATCTCCGAAAGTACTCGACCGATTGTTGTGAAATTTTGTACTTATATTAAGAATATCATGTAGATGGTAAAACGCTAACCAAAATTTGTCTAATCATCCCCACCACTAATGCGATGACGTCACTTCAAAATTGTACATAGTAAATGGGTTTTCAATTGTATAAAATAACATAGTCCTACACATGTAGTTTACAACTCCGAATCGACTTTTCACCCGAAACGTCCAGATTTTTGGAAAAAAAATCAAAATTATAAAACAACATTTTGAAATTTAATTTTTAATCTGCTAACCAGAATGCTTTGAAATGTTGCAGATGTTTTAAGGCTATAAAGAGCATCATAAATCTTTAGTCAAAAAATATTTGCTTATCCCCTCCAAAAACTTGATGACGTCAGCTCAAAAGTTTGTGGAATAAATCATATCTAAAATGTACAAAATATGATGAGTCTGTACTTGTGATCTATCACTCCATTCATATTTTTTGGATTTGCATATACAGGGTGACTCAAAAAAATTAATGAATGCGTAAATTTATTTTACTGATTTATTCAGAAACTACAAAACCGAATGCTTTGAAATCTTGCAGATGTTTTAAGGTTATAAAGAGCATAATAAATGTTTAGTCAAAATATATTTGCTTATCCCCTCCAAAAAATTGATCACGTCAGCTCGAAAGTTTGCCGAATAAATCCTATCTAAACTGTAAAAATATGATGAGTCTGTACTTGTAATTTATCACTCCATTCATATTTTTTGGATTTGCATATACAGGGTGACTCAAAAAAAATAATGAATGCGTAAATATATTTTATTGATTTAATCAGGAACTACAAAACCGAATGCATTGAAATCTTGCAGATGTTTTAAGGTTATAAAGAGCATAATAAATTTTTAGTCAAAATATATTTGGTTATCTTCTACAAAAAACTGATGACGTCAGCTCAAAAGTTTGCCGAATAAATCGTATCTAAAATGTACAAAATATGATGAGTCTGTACTTGTGATTTATCATTCCATTCATATTTTTGGATTTGCATATGCAGGGTGGCTCAAAAAAATTAATGAATGCGTGAATTTATTTTATCGATTTAATCAGGAATTACAAAACCGAATGCTTTGAAATCTTGGGAATATTTTAAAGTTATTATAAGCATGAACTTTTGTTCAAAATGTATTTGTTCATCCCTCCTAAAAAAATTGATGACGTCACCCTTAAATTTTGCTGAATAAATCCTATCTAAAATGCAAAAAATATGATGAGTTTGTACTTGTGATTTATCATTCCATTCATATTTTTTAGATTTTCTTAAGAGGTGGTTCAAAAAAATTAATGAAGTCAATTTATTTTATTGATTAAATTAAAGGCAACACTTATTATTAGTATTACACCCCAACCAACCCAATTTGGTAGACACAAAATTTGTTAAAGGAAAAACTCGGTTGAAACATAAGGGTAGCACGCTTATTTACATCGACTTTAACATTACAGACCTGCATTTGTTTTATGCGCTCACTTGGTTCCGCGAATGTGGAATAGACATGTTTATAATCAACCAATTGTGAATTTCACCGTCAAGAATTAAAATAAAACCCAATGTTTTATATAATAAGCGGAAGTCGAAGCAATAAAACCGATGTTCGTTTTGTTTACAGTTTCTCTGTTTGACTCTCACGTATGCTGTTACGCTTGTCATCTTAAATTAAGAATGTTTATACATAAACGATTTTCAGTTGCCCCTCATATTACTAGACAGCGGATTTCTGTAGGGCTGCGTCACGATTATAGGGGGGGACGTGCTGGATCGCCGGGTGATAGATAATCACTGAATTTAATCGGTACTAATTCCATAAATATAATTAACGATTTATTAATCAAACGGCTAAGTAAATGAGAACGGGAATTAACAGCAGAGTGCAACGAAACAGCGTTATTCTAATCTCAAATAAACGAAGTGCAGTCCGCAACCGCAATGAATTCGCACCCCGTACGAGCCGTACCGAGTTTGGCCTTGCCTAGCCCGACAGAAATCCGCTCTCTAGATATTACACACCGGCGCCGTATACGTGAGTAAATTGTTTGGTTATTTTATTGATTATAAGAAATCAATATTCAAAACGACCCAATTCATTTTCCCGAAAATTTGGGAATACAATAATTTTATTCTTAGTATTACACTACATCTATCCCAACTGATATACGTGTCCTTGCAAAAATGTTGATGACGTCATCACAATTTTTTTTTAAATTCCCACTACAAAAATGTAATGAGAAAAAAAAACACAATAGACATGCAGTCGTCAAGTTTCCGACAGCGAGGGAAGTACTGTCTAAACTCTTTAGACCAATTTTTTTACCCTAAAATGCGCTCTTTACTAATAACCAAATCGATTTTACCAACCATGCCTATTCCCATTTCCCTAGTGTTACAATTCCGAGTTCGCACAACCAGATCCTCACAAATGCGCCGCGACGCCCCGAAAGAGAGCATTATTAACGCCACTGACACTTCTTTTCCATTCCAGGCATCCTCTGCAACATAGACCGTCTCGAGCTGATAATGCCCCGGTACGCCATCCGCGGCGGCGACGTGATCCTGAAGTGCGAACACAGCGTGCCTCCCGAGCAGCTCTACAAAGTCGAGTGGCAGAAAGGAGGGAACAAGATCTTTCAGTACATCAAAGGCCGAAGGCCCCCATTTAGATACTTCCCGACGGCGGGGGCCGACTTGAACGTAAGAACGCCCTCAGTTTAGACGAGTGACGGCCACTCGAACCGATCGCAATAAATAAAAGATCGTTGGGGGAATCGCAGGTATAATGAAGTGGCTCTCGTCGATGATTTGTCGGGAGCGGGGGCGGCGGGCCGCCGCCGACCGGACGTCCGTAAAACCGACGTAAAATTCTGCGAGATGGCCGCGTTTTGGGCCGGGAGGGTCGGAGACGGTGCGTGGCGATCGGGGGTTTATTGTAAATTGAAACGTGGGGCGGCGGGGGCGGCTTTAGCCGCTTTAGGAGAAAGTTGAGCTGAGCTGTTTCGATGGGATTTGGCCGGATTGGGATTGGGCGTGCGGACCAATTGCGTGTATAATTGGTTGCATACACAATATCGAATTTTTTTGCTACAATTTTGTTTTTCTAATACTATTTGTGCACTCGGCTACGGGTCGTGAAAATTTAAAAAAGCGGAATTGAGCAACGTACAAAGTCGTTATCGTTACCGTATCGTCGTTACGCCGTCTGCCGCATCCATAAGCGACACTTCCACCAGTTCTACCACCCCATCAGACAGACAAACCCACCCTGACTTTTTCATAGGGAGCGCTTTACATCCACCTACTAAAAAAGTCCACACAAAAGGATAAAAAATTATGTTTTCTCACGTCTGCTCTTAATCCCTGGGTTGCTATAAGTGCTAAGGCTTTTTCTGTGTCCACGCAACACTTACATGTTAACACCCTCTAAATAATCACCCCCAAGGGTGAAAATAAACAAACGAAGCGTAAACATTTGATTGTAATGAAGGTTTTTGTGTTTTGCTCCTTAAGGGCGTGTTTTCTTTTAAAGCTTTGAGTAAACTGGGTACAAAATATTTCGGGGCTCTTAATGTGACTAACGTAAGCACTTCAGGAATTGATTCAGTGTTAGGATAACGGAGACAAGGACGGAAACCAAAGAATTCGAACCCCATTATGTACGCGTATTATGTTACAGGAATTATCTATTAACATGTTTGTGCACTTAAAGCCCATTGTAACAACATATTAACATCACACGGAGGATGAATCCATCAAGTGCGCTCGAGCGAATGCAGGAGTGCATATGGCGTTTTTATCCCTGAGGGGGATCATAACCAGAGAATGTTCTTCTTTTGTTTTGAAAGTAGAAAAAATCGAAAAGTTGCAAGTGGGGAACAGAAATGGCGCAGTCGGTGGGATGCGTCTCTGAAAAATTATATAATTTAATTTTGCGGGATTTTACTTGTTCGTGATAACTTTTATGCAATTAAAACAATATAGAAGGTACTAGTCACACAATCCCGAGAAGATTTAGTATTTAAAACAAAGACACTTGGGGCCCCGAGAAGGTTTCGCCTTAAAAAAAAAAAAGGCATTTAGCACCCACGAGAAGGTTTTACCTGTAAATTCAAAATATCGAAAAACTGAAAAATCTAATAAATAAAAAAATTTCAAAATCGAATAATCGACAAATAGTAAAAACTTCGAACCGATATTATTATTAGTATTACATATTTAAAAGACAACTAGAAACATTACAAATCAAAATTGAAGGAACGAAAAACCGAAAAGTCGAGAAACTAAAAAATCTAAAATTGAAAAAACAAAAAATTCAAAATTCAAAAATTTCACATTGAAAAAAAAGAAAAATTATAAAATCAGAACATTGGAAAATCGAAAAATTGTAAAAATAAAGAAAAATTGACAAAATTGAATTAATAAAAAATTTTAAATTCAATAATTGAAAGGGCGAATAATTTTTAAATTATTTTTGTTGCGTATTTAAAAATGAAAACTAGAAAAATTACAAATTGAAAACTCGTAAAAGTGCAAATCGAAAAATTAACTTTGGTAATTTTTCTTCTTATTTAATTTTTTAAATTTTCTAATTTTAGATTTTTCAATTTTTTTTTGCTTCCAATTCTTGATCTTTTGATTTTTCGAGTTCTCGGTTTTAGAATTTTTTTCATTTTTTTAAATTTTTGACTTTTCGACTTTTCGATCTTCATGTTTTGAGTCCACATTTTTAAATTTTTTATTCTTCAACTTCACTTAATATTTTAATTTCTCGATGTTTCTGTTCTCCGATTTTTCTGTTATTCACTTTTTCGAATTTTTAGATTTTCGACTTCCGATTTTTCAATTTCCCGATTTTTCTCTTTTTCCATATTTTAATTTTTCAGTATTTTGAATTTTAGAATTTTGGGTTTCCCGATTTCCCAGTTTTCCGATATTTCAGTTTTTAGATTGTGCCCATTTCGATTCGCGATTTTTCAATTTTTCAATCTGTCAATCTTCTAATTTTTTTATTTTTCAATTTTTCGATTTTTCAGTTTCTAATTTTCAATTTTTTGATTTTTTAAATTTTCGATTTTTGACTTTTCGCTCTCTCGATTTTGCAATTTTTCGGTTTTTTGATGTTTTGTTTCCTCAATTTCTCAATATTTTAATTTCTCGATGTTTCAGTCCTTCGATTTCTCTGTTCTTCAATTTTTCGAATTTTTAAATTGTCGACTTTTGATTTTCCGATTTTTCAATTTTTCGATTTCTCGATATTTCAATTTGTCGATTTTTGAATTTCTAGATTTCCCACCTTTTCGATTTTTCAGTTTTTCAATTCATCAAATCTTTTAATTTTTCTCTTTTTTAATTTTTCGATTTTTTGATGTTTCGATTTCTGGTTTTATGAATTTTTCGATTCTTGAATTTCCCAATATATTTTTTAATTTCTCGATGTTTCAGTTCTCCAATTTTTCTGTTATACACTTTTTCGAATTTTTAGATTTTCGACTTCCGATTTTTCAATTTCTGGATTTCTCGATTTTTCAGTTTTTATGATATTTACAATGTAAGAGTTTCGATCTTAAATTTTTCAAGTTGTCGATTTTTTTAATCTTTCAATTTCCCGATTTTTCTCTTTTTCGATATTTTGAATTTTAGAATTTTGGATTTCCCGATTTCCCAATTTTCCTATATTTCAGTTTTACGTTTTTTAATTTTTGTCGTTTTTAAAACTGCGATTTTTTTATACCTCCATTAATCGATTTTTAGATTTTTCCCATTTCGCGATTTTTCGATTTTTCAGTTTTTCAATTTTTCAGTTTCTAATTTTAAATTTTTTGATTTTTTAAATTTTCGATTTTTTGACTTTTCGCTCTCTCGATTTTTCAGTTTTTTATCTTTTAATTTTTCGATTTTTAATTTTGACACTTGTTCAATTTTTCGACTTTTCGTTTTCTCGATTTTTCAATTTTTTGATTTTTCAGTTTCTGGGTTTATGAATTTTTCGATTCCTCGATTTCTCAATATTTTAATTTCTCTATGTTTCAGTCCTTCGATTTCTCTGTTCTTCAATTTTTCGAATTTTTAAATTGTCGACATTTGATTTTTCGATTTTTTGATTTTTTTGATTATTGAATTTTTCGATCGTAAATTTTTTTATTTTTCCGATTTTTTAATATCTCAATTTCTCGATTTTTCAATTTTCCGATTTCTCAATGTTTCAATTTCCCGATTTTTCTCTTTTTCGATATTTTAATTTTTCAGTATTTTGAATTTTAGAATTTTGGATTTCCCGATTTCCCAATTTTCCTATATTTCAGTTTTACGTTTTTTAATTTTTGTCGTTTTTAAATTGCGATTTTCGATATGTCCATTAATCGATTTTTCGATTTTTCAGTTTTTAAATTTTTTTGTTTCTAATTTTAAATTTTTTGATTTTTTAAATTTTCGATTTTTTGACTTTTCGCTCTCTCGATTTTTCAGTTTTTTATCCTTTAATTTTTCGATTTTTAATTTTGACACTTGTTCAATTTTTCGACTATTCGGTTTCTCGATTTTTCAATTTTTTGATGTTTCGAATTCTGGGTTTATGAATTTTTCGATTCCTCGATTTCTCAATATTTTAATTTCTCTGTTTCAGTCCGTCGATTTCTCTGTTCTTGAATTTTTCGAATTTTTAAATTGTCGACTTTTGATTTTTCGATTTTTCGATTTTTTTGATTATTGAATTTTTCGATCGTATTTTTTTTATTTTTCCGATTTTTTAATGTCTCAATTTCTCGATTTTTCAATTTTCCGATTTATCAATGTTTCAATTTTCCGATTTTTCTCTTTTTCGATATTTTAATTTTTCAGTATTTTGTATTTTAGAATTTTGGATTTCCCAATTTCCCAATTTTCTGATATTTCAGTTTTACGTTTTTTAATTTTTATCGTTTATAAAATTGCAATTTTTTGATATCTCCATTAACCGATTTTTAGATTTTTTCCATTTCGCGATTTTTCGATTTTTCAGTTTTTCAATTGTTCAGTTTCTAATTTTAAATTTTTTGATTTTTTAAATTTTCGATTTTTTGACTTTTCGCTCTCTCGATTTTTCAGTTTTTTATCTTTTAATTTTTCGATTTTTAATTTTGACACTTGTTCAATTTTTCGACTTTTCGTTTTCTCGATTTTTCAATTTTTTGATTTTTCAGTTTCTGGGTTTATGAATTTTTCGATTCCTCGATTTCTCAATATTTTAATTTCTCTATGTTTCAGTCCTTCGATTTCTCTGTTCTTCAATTTTTCGAATTTTTAAATTGTCGACATTTGATTTTTCGATTTTTCAATTTTTTTGATTATTGAATTTTTCGATCGTAATTTTTTTTATTTTTCCGATTTTTTAATGTCTCAATTTCTCGATTTTTCAATTTTCCGATTTCTCAATGTTTCAATTTCCCGATTTTTCTCTTTTTCTATATTTTAATTTTTGAGTATTTTGAATTTTAGAATTTTGGATTTCCCGATTTCCCAATTTTCCTATATTTCAGTTTTACGTTTTCTAATTTTTGTCGTTTATAAAATTGCGATTTTTTGATGTCTCCATTAATCGAGTTTTAAATTTTTCCCATTTCGCGATTTTTCGATTTTTCAGTTTTTCAATTTTTCAGTTTCTAATTTTAAATTTTTTGATTTTTTAAATTTTCGATTTTTTGACTTTTCACTCTCTCGAT